GCCTCTGGGTCCCGCAGTCGCCTCCCTGCTACCCGCAGTGCAGGCGGGGGCGCCCCCGGGCACCCCCGCGGATAGCCTGGGCGGGGAGAGGCTGGTGGGGGTGCCCATGCAGGTGAGGGGAGGGCGGGGCGGGGCGGGGGGCGGCTGAGGGGTGGAAAGGGGGCTGTGAGTGGGGGGCAGGGGGGGTAGGTGGCTGTTTTCTCTGGCTTTGCTTACCTTCCTGGCGTGGTTGTTGTATGTATGCTGTTTTGATAGCATGTGGGGAAGGGAGGGAGGAAGGGGAAAGGCGTCCCTCCCCCTTCCCCTTCTTTCTCTCCGCCCTCCTTCAGAACCCCGCGGGGTTCGATTAGATTTGTAGATTGCGCGCCTCCCAGGTGAACCCCATATGGTATACCCGCATTTGCCCCGTCGGCAGTTGGGAAATAAAAGCTACTATAGAAAGCGGGGAAGTAGCAATGTCCCTAGCTGAGCAGATTTTGGGAAGGACAGTTATGATTTTGACCAAGATTTTCTGTAGTAAAACATTTCGTTTGATTTTTCCCGAGCTATATACCCAGCTGACATGCATCCAACACTTATTCCACGTGCCAGATTCTCCACAAGGACTCTGTGTACGGCGCCCTTGCGGCCGGGGCGTACGAGCTGCACGACTACCTGGACTTCCGAGCCTGGCTTACTGGAAGCCTGCTGCAGGCACGGCACGCGCGCTTGTGTGTGTGTGTATGTGTATGTGTGCGTTCTTGGGGAGCTCCGGGGAAAAGAGGAAACGGTTGGGCGAGTGGCAAGGGGGGTGACGTGCAGTGGGTCTGTAGGTTTCCAATACGTTCCAATACGGACACGGACAAAACCCTCCCCCTCCTCTCTCCCCTCCCGTTCCGAGTCCCAACCTCAGGAAGTTGGCGATGTGGGTCCCGCCAACAAGCCTATTCGGCGGCGTATCGGACTGGTGGTGGCGGCCAACGTGGACAGAGTGGAGCAGGAGGACCCTGTCAGGTGGGGGGGAAGAGGGAGAGGGAGGGGGAGGGGAGGGAGGGGGGAGAGGGAGAGGGAGGGGAGGCT